ATCCAAGTCAGTGATCTGCAGTATGGAATGTGTGAACCTTGTCGCTACAAGTAGTGATGAGCCCCAAACTTCCAGGTAGCCAGAGCTGCATTTACCATGGCAATCACTTATAAAGGACACAATTTTCGAGAAAACGTAAAAACTTGCCGCTAACATCTACGCTTGTAGAGAAAGCAGGAAAGGAGTTGGCAAAATCCCCTTCACAAAGGACACAGTGGGAAGTTGTGTAATGTCAGTGGCCCAGTCTGCAAAGCCCGGTGTGTGCCAGCAGGGGCAGGTCTGTGGTGCCGCGGAGTGAGCGTCATCTGCCCACGAGGGAGAAGTGCCTGATGGCTTCCTGTCTCTTCATCACTAAAAGCCCGTCTCACAGTTGAGATTTTCTAAGTTAAACCTTGCTTTGTGATCCATGTTGGAAAGGGTGTAGTGGGGTCAGAAGTAATGGGGCGCCCGCTATATCAGGGAAGAGATTAGTAAGACAAGGAAATCTAGTTCCAGTTCAAGAGGGTGACATAGGAAGATCCTGAACTCCTTCCCTCCCACAGACACACTCAATCTACAGCTGCATATGGAACAATTTCCTCCGAAGAACACCCAAAATCTGGCAGAGTGACCCCTTCGCACTGTGCAAATGAGAGGGAAACCGCATCAAAGTGGGCAGGAAAGGCTTAGATATAATCTCACCACAAACCCCACCACAATCAGGAGGAAACTCAAACCCCAGAGCTTCTCTGAGTGAAGGGTTCATACCCCACATCAGGCACCCTGACTTTTAACATCAGCATCTGAGAGTCAAACCCCCAAATATCCAATTTGAAGACCAGTGGGTTTGTGCCCACAAGACCCGTAGGTCTGTGGCATACTGAGATTGGCATAGAAACAGACGCATAGATCAATGGAACAGAAGAGGATCCAGAAATAAACCCACACACATATGGTCAATTAATTTATGACAAAGGAGCCAGGAATATATCATGGGGAAAAGGCATTTTCTTCAATAAATGGTGCTGGGGAAACTGGACAAACTCAAGCACTATCTTACACCAAAAAAAAAAAAAAAAAAAAAAAATTAACTCAAAATAGACTTGAATGTCAGACCTGAAACCATAAAACATAGGTGGCAAGTTCCTTGACATCGGTCTTAGGGATGAATTTTTTTTATTTTTATTTTTGGATTTGAAAGCAAAAGCAAAGGTAACAAAAGCAAAAATAAACAAGTGGGACTACATCAAACTAAAAAGCTTCTGCATCAACACAATAAAAAGGCAACCTCCTACTAAATGGGAAAAATATTTGCAAATCACAGATCTGATAAAGAGTTAATATTCAAAATATATAATGAGCTCATGTAACTCAATAGAAAAAAACGAACAAAAAATTACCCCAAAAATGCGCAGAGGATTCAAATAGATGTTTTGCCAAAGAAAACAGAGATGGCCAACAGCTACATGAATAGGTACTCGACATCACTAACCATCAGGGCAATGCAAATCAAGACTGTGGGAAGCTGCCTATTGTCTTCTCTAGCAGAGAGGTGTGGACAAGGAGCCCGGAATGCTGGTGACCCATGAGTCCTGGCAAAGGTCAGGGCTATGCACCCACTGTCTAGTCCAGACAATGGTAGCTGAAGCAACTTCCCCACCAGATAGTCATGTAAATCCTTACTGATAAGATAGTCTGTCTGTTACTGGAAATTGCCTGCCTAAGGGCTATGGGATCCCAAAGTGAATAAAAGAATGGGGAGGCCTGAGCCCAACTGGAGTCTTTCCTCTTGGGATGGGCTCCCGCCTGGCCCCCCAATTTCTAAATTATTATTTCTTGTCTCATCTCTGTCATTTGCGTGCGGCCCCTCTTCCAGAGCCCGAACCCTGAACCACGTGGGATGTGGGACGTGGGACGTGGGACGTGGGACGTGGGGTCAATCACACAAGACCACAGTGAGATTTTACCTCATGTCTATCAGGATGGCTGTTATGAAAGAGACAAGAAATAACAGGTGTTGGGGAGGATGTGGAGAAAAGGAAACTTGTGCAGTTAGTGGGAGTGTAAATTGGTGAAGCTACTATGAAAAACAATATGGAGTTTCCTCAAATAAAAATTAAAAATAGAAATACCACATGATCCAGCAATTTTACTTTTGGGTATTCATAAAACAACAATGACAACAACAAAAAAGCCACAAATCACTAACTTGAAAAGCTGTCTGAACACCATATTCACTGCAGTAGTCTTTACAATATCCAAGACATGGAAACAACCTAAGCGTCTACCAATGGGTGAATGGGTAGAGAAATTGCGGCATATATACACAACAAAATATCATTTAACCATAAAAAGAATGAAATCTTGCCATTTGTGATGGCCTGTAATAGTTTTAATAACGAGGCATTATGCCAAGTAAAGTAAGTCATAAAGATACAATATATACAAATACTGTCTGAGCTCACTTATATCTGAAATCTAAAAAATCAAAACAAATAAGCTCATAGATACAAGAAGAGATTGGTATGGATTGGTGGTTGGCAGAGGATGGGAAGTGAGTGAGACAGGTGAAAGGGTCAAAAGGCACACATTTTCAATTACAAAGCAAACATATGCTGAGGATGTCATGTACTGCATAGTGACTATGGTTAATGATACTCTATGCTTTTTAGAAAGTTGCTAAGATAATAGATTTAAAAGTTCTCACCACAAGAAAAAATTATTGTAACTATGTATGGTGATAGATGTTAAGAAGAATTATTTTAGTTATTACTTCACAACATGTACAAATATCAATTATGTTGTATACCTGAAACTAAACTAATATAATGTTGTATGTCAATTATACCTCAAAAAAAAAAAGACAAGTAAGTTTTTCCTCAATGCTTATCCACTTTATTTCCAGATAATGATTGGTGGACAACAGTATCCTCTCTGTTTTGATTCACTTTTGAAGGAAATAGTGAGAGTTAGAAATATGGTCAACTGATGACCAATGAATGTATAGCTTTTCAGTGTTCAATGCGAATAAATATATCATGAATATGTATGCCTGTTTTTTCACACTAAAGTATACTGGTTTGGGAGTAAAGGTGCTCATAATCATTAAGTTAATTTTTTAGAGCAGTTTCAGTTCACAGCAAAATGGGGTAGAAGATACAGAGATTTCCCATACACTATCTGCTCCCACACAAAAATAGCCTCCCCCATTATCAACATCATCCACCAGTGGTACATTTGTTATAATTGATAAACCTACATTGACACATCATTGTCATCCAAAGTCTATAGTTCACACCTAAGGTTCACTCTTTGTGTTGTATAATCTATTCAGTTGAATAAATTTATAATGACGTGTACCCACCATTATACTATTATACAGAATAGTATCACTGATCTAAAAATCCTCTGTGCTTTATCTATCCGTTCTTTCCTTCCCTAACTCTGCTCATTTCCCCAGCAACCTCTGATCCTTTTATTGTTTCCATAGTTATGTCTTTTCCAGAATGTCATATAGTTGGAACCATTCAGTATGTAGCCTTTTCAGATTGGCTTCTTTCACTCAGTAATATGGATTTAAGTTTCCTCTCTGTCTTTCCATGGCTTGATAGCTTATTATTTTATTTTATTTTTTAGCACTGAATTATATATTCCATGGACTGAATGTACCACAGTTTATTTACCCACTCACTTACTGAAGGACATCTCGGTTGCTTCCAAGTTGTGGCAATTATGAATAAGGCTGCTATAAATATCTTCGTGCAGGTTTTTGAGTGGATATATGTTTTCAACTCCTTTTGGCAAATACCCTGGGACATGATTGCTGCACTGTATGGTAAAAGTATGTTTAGTTTTGTAAGGCCCTCCAAACTGTCTTTCAAAGTAGCTATACTATTTTGCATTCCCACAAGCAATGAATGAGAGTTCACACGGCTAAGACCCTCACTAGCATTTGGTGTTGTCAGTATTCTGAATTTTGGCCATTCTAATAGGTGCGTAGTGGTATTGCATTGTTTTACTTCATTTTTCTAAAGACATATGATATGTAACATCTTTGCTTATGCTTATTGGCCATCTGGTGAGGTGTCTGTTAAGATGTTGGGCATGTTTAAAAAATATTTTAAAATTGATTTCAGATAGGAAAGGAAAGGAAGAGAGAGGTATAAACATCAATGATGAGAGAGAATTATTGAATGGCTGCCTCCTGCACGCCCCACACTGGCGATTGAACATGTGTCCTGATGGGGAATCGAACTGTGACCTCCTGGTTCATAGGTCAATGCTCAACCACTGAGCCATGCCAGCTGGGCAGTTTTAAAAATCAACTTGTTTTCTGATTGTTGAGTTTTAAGAGTACTTTGTATATTTTATTCTTATAATTTACTTTAAAAATATTTATTGTTGAAATTATTATACATGTTTCCCCTTTCCCTCCATTGACTCCCTCTAGCCCGACTTCACCACACTATTATCTGTGTCCATTGGTTATGCATATATGCATACAAGTTCTTTAGCATTTTGTGTATTTTAGATTATAGGTGTTTTTTTTTTTTAACCAGATATACTTTTTGCAAATAATTTCTCCTAGTTTGTGGCTTGTCTTCTCCTTCTCTTGACATTGTCCTTTAAAGCAGTTTTTAACTTTAATAAAGTCCAGCTTATCAATTATTTCTTTTATGGATCATGTCCTTGGTGTTGATCTAAAAAGGCACCACAATATCCAAGGTGATCTAGGTTTTCTCCTAAATATCTTCTAGGAGTTATTTTATAACTTTGCATTTTATATTTAGGTCCATGATTCATTGGAGTTAATTTTTGTGAAGAGTGTAAGTTTATTCCACTTTTTATTCAAGTTGTTTGCTATCTTATTGTTGAGGTTTAAGTGTTCTTCGTATATTTTAGCTTCTCAATTCTTCCATGGCTTGTACCTTTGGTGCTTTATCTAAAAAATCATTGTCAAATTCAAGGTCATCTAGCTTTTCTTCTATATTATCTAATAACAGTTTCATAGTTTTGTTAAGTTTTAGGGACAATTTATATCTGAAAAATATTGGGAGATCTGTGGTGAGAGGTCATGCCAAAATATCCCCTTTGAAATGAAAGACAAATTAGAGCCTCTTGCTCCTTCTGACATGAAAAAGGAGGTACAAACTCTCTGGGTCATAAGCAAACTGCATGAGCAGTTAGCCCAGATGTCATCCACCATAGTTGGACCAGTGCCCCTTCTTCAGTTTGTACCTATGGCCATGTGGGGAGTCCCAAGCTTAATTTCACAGATGGGCCTGCTTGGTATGTGGATACCAGCTTGCATGGATGGCAGCTGTACTAAGGCCTCAGGTGTGCTCTTGAAAGATGGTGATAGGGAAAATCCTTCTTATAAACCACTTTGTGGGGAAAGAGAAATGGTGAGAGATTAGAAGGTGTATAAAAAATCTTGAAGGGAGGGCTAGGGAAGGACAATGCTGGCGGCAGGGTGCGTTAACTGCTCAGAGAGAGAGAGAGAGAGAGAGAGAGAGAGAGAGAGAGAGAGACCCTTGCATATAGTAAATCATGGGCATCACTAACGTTTCTGAGCAATAGGGGAAGATTCATTTGGACAGCATTGCTAAGATACAGAGAAATACTCATTTTAGAAAAAACCCAGAGAGTAGATGACCTTTCAAGAGAAGACAGAGTTTTAAAGAGGAAATGTATACAGTGTCAACTGCTGAGAAAAGATGAAAGGGAATAAAAATCAGGGCGGGGGGATCCATAAAAAAAAAATCTTGAAGGGAAAAAGAGGAAAGATCAAGGCCAAGAAGGTCCATGGGTTAACACATGGGAGTGGGCACAAAGTTGGAGATCCTGGTACATGTCTCACCCACCAGGAAACATCCTTCTTGCACCAGGCAGTGAACAGCCAAGTAGACAATCACCTGGCTGCCTGGTGCTTGCCAGTCTCTGTCACCGGCCACCCTCGTGCGGATTTGATGGGCAGGAAAGAAGTGGCTGCGATGGCAGAGATGAGACTACACGTGGTCCCAGGGGCATGCACTCAGGCACCAAAGCTGATCTAGTCGCTGCCGTGGTTGAATGCCCAATTTGCCAGCAACGGAGACCTTCCTCAGCTCCTTGAGGAGACCAACTGACCACCAAGGACAAGTTGGCTGCAATGGAGCCTTCCATCCGGAAGGATTAGTGATTTGTTCTCACAGAGCAGACACCCTTTCAGGTGTGGAGTTCTCTTCTCTGAACCATTAATGAAAACTTACAGCGTGCATATCCACCAGCATGGGATCCTACATTGCATTAAACCAGGGGGTCCACTTTATCAAAAAACAGGTACGAAGGGGACTCGTGACTACAAGGTTCACTCCTAACATCACATACGGCACCACCCAGAAGTTGTCAGCATTTCAGAGGTTTGGATGGATCACCAACTTGGAGGCACACAGTTTGTGGGGATGAGGCAATGTCTTCCAGGATGCCAGATATATACTCACGCGTATAAGAATGAAGAAGAGAGCTTTATTTGCATGCATAACTCTAGTCAGTATTCCTTTCCTCTTCTTGGTTTTGGGTAAGGTTAGAGTTTAACGTAATATCATACCTTATAGGAAAACACAGCGCTGTGCCAAAAATCATTGCTAGTGGAATAGTTACAGTCTATAAATCAGTCCATTCATTGGGAATCCATTTTGTATTTTGATTTGCTTTATAAAAAGAGAGGTTGGCAAAAGAGCCCCGCCCTGGACAATATAGCTGAGGACAACACAAATATTTTTCAACCCGCTGCTCTTGCAGATTCAGTGGTACCTCGTAGAATTGGAAATGAGTGTGTGGATTCCTGGTTTCCTTTTAAGCTTCTGTGCTCCCCTGGCCTTTGGAGGGTTTCCAGATGACATATTTTTTGACTCATGTGAATGGATGTTAATGGTCTAAATCTGTCTACTGTGCAATTTACTAGTTGGGTCAAAAACAATAAAGGTGTTTTGTGTTAAAATTTAAAGTTTTGTTTGGAAACAATACACCAACTTTTCTCTCACCGCTTGCTAAGGCTGAGTTGAAAATACATTCTTTTGCCAAATTCTCCATAAAGAAAGGTAAGCTCTTCATTCATTAATGTTATTAGTTTTGATTAAACTCAAGGTTCTAGCAAACATTTCCCCTCTGTAAAATGCATTTCTCATCCAGTTTTCACATTGGGAAAATCACTTGCCCTGTATAACTTACTACTCTTCAAAATGCTCCTGTGTCAGTTCAAGTTGAAACCCCAGTTTCACCACGAGAAGAGACTTGATTTGCCCAACTCCACTCTCCCAACAGGACTATACATATACCCTCCACGTTTTTTGGATAATCATATTGAAAGTGTTCCCAGACGCTAGTGGCTGTCTGTGTACAGGAGAGTTTCATAATGAATTAGTGCAATTATCCAGAATGTTTACATTAAATATTGGGAGACAGCCCAGACATTTTGGCTTGAACACCTACAATGATTCCTAGACTGACTGAATCCAGAGGAAGGCTGCTCAATTTTCCATATCATAGAGGGGAAAATTCTAACATTATACCACATGATCTCACTCATTTATGGATAATAAAGACCATTATAAACTGATGAACAAAAATAG